AGTACCACTGGTAATATTGCTTCTATATGTTCTCAGATTCAAGCTCTTTATGAGTCAGTTTTCAGAACACAGTTTCTTTTTTATAAATGGAGGCTTCTGGCTCTGGTAACTGCCAATGGTTCTACCAGAATATACCTTGAAGTAAGCAGAAATGAGGAGGAGTTTTCCAGGGAAAATTTATTTATTTCTCAACAAGTAACATTATCCCCAGGATAATCCTGTTTTTTTTTTTTTTCTTCTTTATAGTGAGCAGTCCTTTCCGAAGTACTCTCTACCCTCCCCTTCTTACAGGGAAGGACACTTTTCCCAGGCGCTTTCTTTAGAAACCATTATTCTTCCCACTCCAAACATGGAAAACAATCTTGCCACCTGGTTCTGGCATTGCCTTGCCTGCTGATCATAGAGTCAAATCATAATCCTTCCCCTTTGAGCCTGCTGAGCCAAGTCATCCTGGTAGAGGTTGTGAATCAGAGTGGCAAAAGATGTGAAAGTTGCTTGCTCTTGATAACCTGCTCTCTACAGCTAAGCCATAGTGAGGCGAGGCACATAAAGGATATTGCAGAGAAACAGGCTTTGATGCTCTATTTCCTGAGGCTGAGCTCCTTTCTTCCTGTCCTAGTAGTTTGTTTTCCTTTAATAACATGAAGCGACCAAGGACTCTTTCAGTAAATTTACCTTTTGCCTAAGCTGACTGTGTTTGCTTTTTGAGGTGTGGAACTCAAATCATTCTGATTAATCCATTCTCCCCGTCTTGTGTCTTCCCTGGAATCTCCTTTTGAAATGGCGGATGGAGGGAAGTTTTCTTTGTTCTTCTGGACCCCCAGATTTGAATGAAACTCAAAATGGGCTGAGAACCATGCAAGGAAGGGAAATGCTCCGTGGTGTCCCGCAGTCTCCCCTTATCTGAGGGGATATGTACCACAACACACAATAGATGCCTGAAACCGGATAGTGCTGAACCCTTTATGTTTGGCACTTCCTGTACATACCTATGATAAAGCTTGATTTGTTAAATTGGTGCAATACGAGATTAACAACAACTAATAATAAAGTAGATGACAAACATATGCTGTAAGAAATTATTGAAAACTTATGAATTATTTTATTTCTGGGATTTTCCTTTTAACACTTTTGACCCATGGTTGACCTCAAGCAACTGAAATCTTAAAATCACAACGAATAGGGTATTGCACTGGAGAGACAGCTTGGAACTTTTTAAAAAAAAAATCAGTAATTGTCTCCCTATAAACAAGGAACCTTTTGAAGGATTTATGTCATATGCTTGCAAGTCAGAGGTCAAAATCAATATAACTGAATTTGCTTTCCTTGGTTCCCAAAGCTAAATTTTATTATTACTCAGCCCTCAGCACTTAAAACCAGCTCTCACTGTGTCACTGTAATTACCTAAGTAGATACACGCGATATCAAGAAACATTAGAAGGGATCTCCTAAACCCTAGGAGAGCTGGAGGCAGTGTTCAGTGATCGAGCACTTACCTAGCATACTCAATGTCCTGGGTTCGATTCTTACAAAGGAAACTCTAGGAAAATATAGGAAAGAACCTTTTAATTCCCCAGTAAATGAGTCCTTGAGCTTTCTCCTTTTTAGACTCATTCTTTCAATTTAGCTTTGAAAATATGTGCAAGGAACCAGGTGCCAAAGTTTTACAAGTCTTGATGCCATATATTTTTCAATGTTGTTCATATATATTTCCTCAATCACCTAAGTTATCTTTGCAGTAGGATCACAGCCAATTCTAGGATAAAGTGAGGTTTGGTTTAACCATGGTTTACCTCAATCTCCCTGTGGGACAATAAACCTGTCCCGTAAGGGTAAGAGGTACTGTGGAAATTTCATCTTCTTTGGGCCAGGGCTTTAACTCAGAGGTTCCACTGCCTGCTTCATGAGCCCAAGGACCCAAGTTCAATCTCCAATACCAAAAAGAAATTTCATCTTCTTTTTTCCCTTGGTAGCTTCATTTTATATTATCATTTCTTATCCATAGTATTAGCCAAGCCAGCATGGAGTTTCTTTCTGCTGCTCCTATTTCCTAATCCTCATTCTCTCATCCATCTGATTCAAAGTAACATCTAAAATAATTATACTACTTTCCAGTTTTTCAAGGTAAAAATATACTGTCATCTTATCCATAATAGAACACTGCATACAAGGGCTGCTGCTACCACATTTTACATTTGGAGAAATTCTGGCTGCCAAGGATGAAATGAAAAACTGCCCAATATTGCTGGGCAAATCAGCATCAAAGCTAGCTTTTGAACCTGATGTTCCCAAGCTCCAAGCATGTGCTTTGACCATAATGGCATCCAATTTCTCATTTCCTTGGGACCAGGATCTCATTCTCCTAGTCACAGAGTATTTCTAGATGGTAATCTTCTCCATCCTCTTAGAACAAAATAGGTAAACATTTTGATAATTTTTTCCTAAAGAATATGGATTTCTTTCTCAAACCTGATTTTTCCTCAGAAAATATGATCACCAAAAGAATTTAGAGAGACAGATTATGTCTGTTAAAGAAATTGACTATGCTAATCAAACTTTTTCAATAAAATTATTTTAGGGAGCTTACTATAATCTTCCAATTATTTTTAGATAATTGCTTTTAAATTAATACTCATCATGAAAATAACTATAGATTAGCGTGTTGGGATAAAAGAGCTTGAACTCTTTTGTTGTATGAGCAAATACCATATTTGAAGAATATCCAGAGTTAATGAGCTTTTTTTTGTTGCTTGTTTCTGTTTCCCAAATTAAGAAATTTTGTCTCCAAAAATCTGGATGCTACTTTGAATTCAGTCTGCATTTCTGTAAATACAGATGTAAAAATGTGAGGAAATTTGTTTTAAGTTTATAAACTGATAGAACACAAATCCTCCAGAAGACCTACATGTTCTATTTTGATAGAGTGGAGGCTGGGATTTGGTATCTGTCCTATCACCTGCCACCTTGGATTCAGACAAAATGGTAGGATTATTATGAATATCAAGAAAAAAAAAACTTTTGCTGTTTTTCTTTAGGAAGAAATCAAGCAGGAACTGAGCAGTGTCTGAGGGAAGGAAAGAGGAAGCAAAATGTCATGTGATCACAGGAAAGGGGCAAGAGACCTGACAGAAAGAAAAGAGGGATGTGAGGGCGATCTGCTGCGGCATCTGTCACTTCACTGATCTGGCCGGGCAGGTGTCCCATTCCTCCCTCACCACCCCATGTGCGTCCCTCCCAAAGCTGCACGCTTGGTCAAGGAGAACTACCGCCCCCCCATGGAGGAGGACCGCTTTCTCGGTCAAGGGTATAGGAGTAGCTGCTCTCCCTTCTAGAACCTCCAAACGAGAGAGAAAAGAGGTTTTTCGGGAGGATTTTAAGAAAGTTTATCATGGAGCTTTTGATATTAAACCTTCTCCTCAATACACGCTGCAAGACTGTCAGTAAATTCTATATTTCTGACTTAACACCTGTGTACAATAACTTATTCATCGAGCATGAGGAGAAGAGAAGGAGCAGCAGAGTCTGGGTGTCCGCATAGCTGCTCAGGGAAGAGTGCAATGCTCACACTTTAAGACCCAGAAATGCTGGGCCAGGAGATCCATTTCAAGCCAATTCATGACTGACCCTGTTTCTGTGACCAAACACATCTCAGAGCACAACTGGAGGTGTCAGCAACAATGTCTTCAAATCTCACTGGTTCCATGGAAAATGTCGAAAATCAAGCAGACTCTCTCTCCTTGTCGTAGTAGTAGAAATGGTGTGTGGGGCAGGGAGGGCTCTCCAGTCATTTGTTCGGCATAGAAGGGATTCCTCGTGGTTAGATTTACTATGATTTACTTTAAAGAGCATCAGAGCGAAGAATGTGATATGTGTGAGTGTTTAGGGGCGATTACTATGTCAAGTATGCTGATCAGAGCTAATACTCCAAAGGCAGTTAGCATCTGAATGACTCTAATGGGAAACTGCCTTCAGGAAAGCACCATTTATAACTCTTGGCAAAATCAGAAAGTTTATGAATTAGAATATAGTATGCCAAAATAACTTTGGAGAAATGCATTATTTTTAAGATATTTCTACTAGCTAGATATACAGGGGATGATTAAAAATATGATGAATGCTTTAACTCTCCAAAAAAACACAAAAACTATTACAGTAAAAGACACATTGCCATTAATCTCACTCAGAACACTTCCTTTTGCTTCCAACACATTTATCATTCTTGCCACTCTCTGAAGAAATTCTGGAAGTGCTTTTTTTCTGAGTGGCTGTTTTGAGTGTGGTCAAAAATACTGTAGAATGCTGCAGCTGAGTGCCATCCACCAGAAAAGCAGGTTCCAGAAAACGTTACAGTCTGTCCTAATCCACCGTCTTCACTGGATAGAACACTGCGAAGTCTGGTTCTTCCCCAGTCAAAATAACCATGAAAGGTAAACATTTTGAATCAATTCAAAACTAGGCAATTATGACACCACAATGAAGACATTCACAGAAAAAGATCGCAAGAACTGTTTCAGAAAGGGGCAACAATGTTGGTAGAAGTGTGGTCTAAGAAGGGGAGTAGTTTGAGGGGAATTAATGACAATGTGTCTTTACACGTAATAATTTTAAAAATTTAATCACCATATTTTTTCAATCATGCTTCATATTGAATGGATACCCTTGCCCTTGCATCAGTAATGTTTAACAATCTAATAATAGCATAACTTCTCCAGGGTGGAACTTTGTCTTAAGACTCTAGACTTCTATGTATGGAATCTTCATCACTCAATTCTAACCAGAACTTCAGTTAATGTTGCCACTAGGAAACTGTCACCTTTTCCTGGAGTAAGTGTCTCAAGAAAGTTACTTACTGGAAAATGTGAAATGAGAGATACCAGAGAGATGTTGAAATTTCAGAATAACTTGTCTAATTTTTTGACAGGAGGAGCTATGTGTTAACAAATGTCTGTGTGTGTGGCAAAATTAGGACATGATTCAGGTTTTCAGGGAAGGGGCTCTTATCCTTCACTCTCCGGGAGACAACAAAGGAGCTGGCTATGTTAATCATCTGGAAGAAGGGGTTCCCAGTAAAAACAACATAAAATACAAAGATGCAGCTTAACTTATTTAAGAAAAAAAAAGAAGAAGAAGAGGGACACTGAAGATAAAAGGTAGGAATGTATTGCAATCCAACCACAGAATTATGAAGAGAGGGGTCAGTTCACCTAGAAGTAGGCTGTGGGACCCTTAATTAGAGTTCCTGCCCTCTACCTGGAGGGCAAAACGAATCACAGCTTTGCTACGTTCCCTTCCACTTATTACCAGTAGAGTATGCCCATAATTGGCCACTCCCCACCCCTGACTTAGCATGAAAGTATCGTTTTCCTTAGGTCTTTGGGTCTTCATTTAAGAGACACCTGAATTACAGAAAGCTTTGGTTAAACCCATTTGATACACGTTTTCCCTTGTTAATCTCCCTTTTGTTATACTGGTGCTAGCCATGATACTTGTGACAGACGAGGGAAAGATAATGCACTTTCTCCCCTTGAGTGCTATGGAAATGGAATTTATTTTTCAGCTGAATCCCACCAGTATCATGGGTTGTGGACAGGAGTAGCTGAAGTGGTCAAACAAGTAACATAAGTAGATGAATCAGCCGTACTATTAAAAAAAATTAGCTCACGCTCAATCGCGAATGGCAACAGTAGACTTGCTGATCAGCAATGGCAATATAATCTCAATTCCCTGAGACGGTAGACTTGTGATTTAAGGATGCAAGACTAATGGGTGGGAATTTGTGAATGAACAGCACGTGCACTCCCTTGTCTGTATCCATGCTGGCGTGGGGGTGATGGGAGAGCCTCCACTCTACCCCAGGGCATGGTTGTACAAAGCTTTGCCCCAGGTACTGCCACACATTTCACTCTCTAGGTCAAGTCTGAAATCGTGTGCTAAACTCAGGATTTCCTGATGGCAGCGGCTTAAAAAGAAAATTCAATGTGGTATAAATATCTTATTTCACTTCTTGAAGGAGGCTCGTGGGCTTCTGTGCAGAGGCTATGATCTATGATCTACATACCGTAACTTTTACATTTGAAATCTCTCTTTACCCTTTATTCCTGGTAGTTTAATTATTTGTCCTTTACAAGTGAAAAAAATGAAGACTTCTAGCAGTCTTCAGGGTTTGATCCCTAACACTGAACAAAAAGACTTCCAGACTGATCACATTTTTTTTCACTCTACAATTCAGTATCTCTTCATTCAGCAAATATTTATTGAGTGCCACTATGTTCTAAATACTTATAACTGGGTGGGGGATTTAGCTCAGTGGTTCGGTGGCCTGCCTTGCAAGCTCAAGGACCCGAGTTCAATCCCCCGGTACCAAACAAAACAAAACAAAACAAAACAAAAACAAAAAAACAACTTATAATTTACAGGGTTTTTTTTTTTAACATCTAGGAACTCCACAAAGCCCTGAGAAGTCAATTAAATTTAAAGAGTAAGTGGAAATCCTAGAAAACAAGATCCTGAAGAGTGAAAAGGTAAGAAGAGAAAGAGTAAATGTAACAGGTTCACGGACTATGTAGTATGACCAAAAGTAATCAGTGTTATTTATAGAAAAGCAGTAGAGCAGGGTGGGAGGGCATGGCGTCCTGCTGATGGACATAAAGAAGATTTCACACGCACCAGCAACTCTCTTCTCCCTAGAAATCCTTTCTGTCCTCTCTACTCCCTTCTACCTCTGTTTGTAGGATACACTCAGGTATCTTTTGTCCTAAAAACAGGCACGCAAACAAAAACATGCTTTATCCCTGCACATTCCCCTGCTACTATGTTTATCCTTTAAGAAAAGAGCTGGTGGCTCCACTCCTCCGCCTCCTCTCCCTCATCCCCTCCTCCAGTGGGATTTGCATCCCAGAGTCTTTAGTCCTCACCCAAATGGTGCACCTTGCGTTTTCCTTCTCCTTCATCGTGCCTTAGTCTTGGCCACTGTTAAACATTCACTCTGCAAGATTCAGTTGTTCTTGGCTTCGGAAAAATACGTTATTTCTGGGGCTTCTTCCCCTGCGTTTAATTATCATTTTCAATTGCCTTCCTGCTGTTTTTTGGGCTTTACCTACTTAGTCCTTAAAGGTAAGTGTTCTCCCCAGGGTTAATTCATTCCTTGTGTGTGTGTGTGTGTGTGTGTGTGTGTGTGTGTGTGTGGGTTGGTTCAGTCTTCAGAAGGTCAATTTTATCTTTATTTTACTTCTTATTTTTTCACTAGTGCATGTGTGCACTACAAAGTGTTACATTCCCTGTGAGGAGTTGGTCTGTGTACATAACCCATCTCAATTCCTTTTTTCACTCCTTTTCTCCCTCCCTCCTCCTCCACTCACCTCTTAATCCCTTTCCTTTTTTGGATACGTATTTGCAGTACATAATGTTTACCCTCCTTGTGTGCAATTGGAACTTGTACATTATATTTCTTAATTATTTTTATTCCACCCCCTCTCATCCCTCCCCCCTCCATCTCTTGGTCCCCTTCCAATTTGAGAAAAATCCATCTCCTACTTCCTATTGTCTAGCTTTTTTTTTTTCTTTATTTTGATTTTTTTGTTACTGGGGATCGGACTCTGGGGCCCTTGTGCTTGTGAGGCAGGTGGCGGCACCACTGAGCTAAATCCCTGACCCTATTTTTCTCTTTATATCACTTATACTTTGGTTTTCTCATATAAGGAAAGCCATCTGATAATAAAGCTTGGATGTCTTACTTCACTTAACATTATGGTCTCCAGGTTCATCCATTTTCCTATAAATGACTCTATGGCAGAGTAGTAGTCCTTTGTGTCTAATCACACATTTTCTTTATACACTCATCTACTGATGGACATACTGGAAGTTTTAGACATTATGATTTGTGCTGCTGCAAGCATGGGTACTCACAAATCACTGCACAACCACTGTGAAAAGCAGTATGGAGATGTCTCAAAAATCTGAAGCTAGAAATTCCGTTTGACCCAGTTATTTCCTTTCTCAGCATCTTCCCCAGAGTTAAAGTCATCATTTATTACTTCTCTGACTCTGGAAAAAAACACCTTTCAGCAATTCAGGCTCCATATAGTCAGCACGTCCCAAACTAAGCGCTCATTTAGCCTGACTGTGGCCGACTCTCCTCAGAGTTTCCCAGGAAGGAGGTAGAACTGCCAGACGACTTCACTTGCCCTAGGCAGCCGGATGTCTATTTTTATTTTCTAAAATTAATGCTAGTATTGTTAAATAATGGCTTATGTTCCCATTCAGCTGTGAAGATTGTGCACAAATAAATGTAGGATTTGTCTTCTAAGATTTTAGTCTGAAACTTTAGATGTCTTGGAAAACCTCCTGGTTATCATGTGTAAAGAGCTGACTTTCAAAACCTGGCAGACCGTCGAAATTTATGCTCAGGGAAATTGAGATTATATTGTCATTGTTGAAAAATTATATCTGGGATGTTTTATTTAGACTAGACTAGCTTCAAATAAGATTTGGCTTAAATATTAAGCATAGTATTTAAGGAAACTGAGCTTATCGAGTCATCAGAGGTTTCACATGATCTGCTTAGAAACTTTCAGCAAGAAGAAAGTCTCATCTGGTTTTCATCTGCTATAAATAGAAAATGTCGCCCAATCTACTACTTATTTAGGGTTGGAAAAACGCTGTTTACCGATGAACTCTTTGTGGCCTTATTGAACTGTACGGCATGGCCTCCCGCTCTCTCTGCTACCCCCTCCTCTCCACCCTGTTTGCCCACCCACGTGAGGTGCAGAGCTCAGGAGAACTGTTCCACAGTAATTTCACATCATATTAGATGGCAAAATAAACTTTGAATTTTGTCCCAAATTTCTACCCAATCAGAATTACATTCTTGTAAAAATTATTTTTAGTTTATTTACTTATGTTTTATTGGTACATGTTTCCAGTACATAACCTTAAGGAGTAAGTAGGTACATATACTTAACATATCTTGATTCTTTTTATTGCCTTTCTGCTCTCCTCCCCACTCTGTTTCTAGATCTCCTTCCTATTTGCCAAAGATCGAGCTCCCTGTTTCCTATTGTCTTTTACTTTAATTTTAAAATTATCTATTCTTTAGGTTTCTCCTCTAAGAAATGTTATATGATATTTAAGATTGTGTATCTGATTTACTTCACTTAACATGGTTTCAAGGTACATTCATATTCCTATAAATAAATCAAATTTGTTCTTCTTTATGGCAGAGTAGTACTCCATGATATATAAATAGCACATTTTCTTTATCCGTTCATCAGTTGATATATATACAGGTTGCTTCAAGGATTTAGCATTTATGACTTGTGCTGCTATAAATGTGGGTTTGCATATATTACCATAGCATGGTGTCTTTAAAAAATAAAAAAAAGAAATACTGATGAGACTGTAGGGAAAAAGACACGCTTCTATGTTGTTGGGAGGGGGAATGAATATTAACTGGTACAACCACTGTGAAAATTGGCATGGAGATTCCTCAGAAAACTAAAACTAGAAATTCTATTTGACACAGCTATTCCTTTTCTAGGTATCTTCCCAAGAGAGTTAATATTTATGCTTATACACAGTATTTTAAAGGATAGATTTGTGAAGTCTACATGGATAAGAATGCCCAAATTATATGTAAAGCACATAGTCTATGGAAAATGAATCCATTTCTTCTGAAAACACTGTGTTTGAAATGATTTGCCTTTGGCTAGACTTCCAGATGAAAACCAAATTAAAATACATAGTTTATGAATAACTGAAGATAGAGAATGAATTATAAACAGGCAAAGATGGAATATATATATTTTGGGAGGGTACCGGGGATCAACTTGGGTCTTTGCGCTTGCGAGGCAGGTGGCAGAACCACTGAGCTAAATCCCTGGCCCAAGATGGAATATATTTAAATAAATATAAATTATTAAAAGGACTGGGAGATAAGTCTAGGTACAGGGTAAAACTTAGAAAAAGTATTTACCTAGAGAGTAAAATTGTTAAATTTAATTTTTCAGAGGTTGGTAATGTTAGTGACAGTTTTATGAGTAACAAAGCACAATGACTAAGGCAGAATACTACAAGGTTTATTTATAATATGATGATGATTGGAATAAAAGAAATTGTCTTATTGCTAACCTATCATGTCACTCTTTGACTATTTTTATAATCTTAAATAATCCTTTTTTCGGCAGTGTAATGGAAATGAGTGTTTAGCTACAGAAACATCTATATCTGCCCATGTTTATTAAAAGGTGAGAAAGCTAAATATGAGAAAAATACACCTCCACAAGCAATTATGATCACTGAAGAAAATATATGAAGTATTTATCTCAAAGTCAACAAGAATGAAAGATTTCTTGGAAAGGGGATTGCTTTTGCTGCTTGCCAACATGCATGTCTAGCAAACCATGTTCATGTTTGCAGCAATCTGAACTGCCGAGTAAGCAGTGGTAGTTGGAATAGTTGATACCTCAAGTAAGAATGAATCTTCGGTTTTCACCGTCCTTTCCAGCTGCTGCTGCATGGGGTGGTCTATCAGGACTTTGCTTTCTACCTATCTACAACTTCAAACCAGAATTTACTACTGATCCTACATTGGACAGCAGTATTTAGCTGTCTTGGGTTGAGAGAACCCAAACAGCTGGGATCTATTTTAGAATTGTGTGGCTCCAGCTGGACATACCTTTGAAAGAATTCTTTTTCAGAACTGGGTTTTCACTTTAATCACAGCACTTGGTTTACAAAATCTAGACATAAATGGTTCCCCTGCACAGGGCCAGTTCGACCTGGTTGTCTAGATAAAGGAAAGCCATCTGCTTTTTCATTCTTCTGTAGCACTTGAGATTGTCTCACTCTATTAAAAAGGCCTAGAGGTCTTGTTCCCATTGAGATTTTAAGACAGGACAAATGAAATTAACTAAGAAATGCTGCATGTGTGCTGCCAAGGAATGATTGTGATTCATTTAGGCCGAGCATGTTTATAGCACGCTTGCTACTCATAAACCTAATTGGCAAATTTGTTTGTCTTTGTCTTGACTACATTAAACCAGACACACAGGTCTAAAGAAAGAATGCATTACTAAGAAGCAGAGAAAAATAAACGGTGAAAACCAAAAACCAAAAACCAAAAACGATTAGAAACCAGTGCAGCTTTCAGGGGCAAAAATAAATCAAATGATAAGAAAACTGTCAAATTCCCAATTGCCCTTACCTAACTGCCGATCTGCCTTTTCATGAAAGTCACAGATGGATATTCTGTGGCAGGACATTCACTGTGTCTCTGTTACCCTGATGACATCAACATTCGCCCTCTGATACTCATCACAAGGTATTATTTAACTTATTGAAATGTAATGGTGGGCAAGATTTCCCCAGCAAGGGTCCCAAGAATGTGTTCTAAGTTTTTAATTTTAGGAGCTTAATGCATGAGGTCCAGAAGCCTGTAAGTAGGAAATAGGAAGCTGTAATGAAATTTGCTTTCCCTTTTACTGGTTATTCTGGCAAAGAACAGGTTCAAGGCAACTGCCCAGGAGACACACTTGTGAAGATCTAGGTCTACTGTGCAATGTCTTGTCAGCAGTTAAGGAACGCACATGCCGATTTTTTAATTTTTACAATAAAAAGGGGAAAATCCTCCCAAAGTTAAAAAAAAATGTGTGTACTGAGAGCTGCTAAAGAGAATTTCATTATTAAAAAGAAACCAAAAAGAGATCACTGTGCCCCCTGAGGACAGTGATAGCATTTGGATCAGATCCTTTCACAGCACCATTCTCAGAGCCGGAGGATTTCATTGCTCAGTCTCTGGCCCGTCACTAGGTCCTGTCATGATCATTAAATGCCTATTTTCCTTTCTGTAGCTCATGTGTACAAAGCTTCCTAAAAGATTTGTAATTATGAGGAACAAGGAAAAATACCATTGTAAGCAGTGGGCTTGTGACCAAAGGTTGAGTCACAATGGATAAACCCACTTCTCAAATTTTTCCACTGTCACTGCTGGGCTAACCAGTTGGGAGCCAGTTGCAACCAAAACAGATGTGTACCCTGCTTCACAGAGATCATGGGCATGCAGAGTCCCTTCCTCAACGCAACAGATATTTTCGAGGACCACCTATGTCCTAGGCATTCTTCTGTTTACTGGAATGTAAACCAAGAACACAAAAATCTCTGATCTTATAGAGTTTTGTTTTTAGTGGAAAATTCTAGACAGTGAATATCAGACACGCTAAATAAGCAAACGGTAAAATATACTGGAAAGAAGAAAGTATTACAAGGAAAATACAGAGCAAGGGAAGCAGGCTTGGTGGTGTAGTTTCTTCAAAGGGTCACACATTTGAGAAAAGGCTCAAAAGAGATGGGCCAGCTGGCCATGCAGATGTGGTGAAAGAAAGAGCAGGTCAGGGCGAACAGAAAGTGTAAAGGCCCCAAAGCAAGGGGCCAACTGGGATTTTAAGGGGCAACAACCATGAGCAGAGCGAGCTAAGGGCAGAGTAGTGAGTGACTCACTCCACGAGGTTACGGATCCAAATGCTGGGCCTCGTGTGCCGCACAGGGGTGTGCGCTACAGCCCACGAGAAGGTAATCTCAACAATCGGGCAAAATATCCACAGCTCAAACATGAGAGATAACAGGGGTTGTGGGAAGTAAATAGACATCTTGGGAGAGTAAATCCAACAGGACACCCTGTGAGGTGGGGTGTGGAAGGTGAGAATGAAACAGGAATCTAAGGAAGTCAGGTGTGGTGGTGCACGCTGTAACATCCGGCCAATTAGCGTCTGTTTTTGAAGTAGCCCAGATTGCCCTTACACTGGCAATCCTCCTGCGTCAGCCTCTCTGTGAGCCTCTGTGTGCTGGGATTACAGCATGCACCACCACAGCTGGCTTCCTTAGATTCCTTTTTTCAGGCCAATCGTAACTCAAAGGGTACAATGTATGGCTCAACAGACATGCAGCGGGAAAAGCACATCCACATGAACTTCCAGAAAGTTAACAACTCTCTCTTTCAACCCCTTTCCTCCAGCTGCTACAGGAACCCAAATTTAATATTCTTCCTTACAATGCTATTAGGAAAATCAGTCAACTAAAACAAAATAAAAATAAATCTGGTGAGTTTCGCTTTTGCAAAAAAAAAAAAAAACAGAAAAACAAAGAAGACTAAAGGTTTTCCCTATGCAACTGGAAAGATAAAAATGTATTTCAGTGAGAAGAATGAAATTTCAGGAGAATCACAGTTTTAGCTAGGTTTTTTTTTTTTCCTTTCATAGTGCAGATGGCAGAGGGCAGGAGAAGGTCAGGGTATCTGTTAGTGAGTGTTACATTTAAGATATCTGCTAGATATGTAAGTGAATAGCTCTTAGAAATCCAAGGTTGCCTATTGTGAATGTAGATACATTTGAGAATCATCTGCACAGAGAGGCTGAGCTCACTAAGGGTTGAAAGTGGGACCAAAAGACAGTTTACAAAGTGGGTGAAAGTGGACTGGGCTGATGACGGAGACTAATCCCTGGGTCACAGCAATACGAGCAGGTCTGAGACAGAAGGATGAATAGAAAACTATCAAAAAATAATCCATTTAACCCAGCTATTCCTCTTCTAGGTATTTTCCCCAAAGAGGTAAAGACATCATATTACAGTGATACATGAAAACTCATGTTTATAGCAGCACAGCTCATAATAGCTAAATATTGGAAGCAAACTATATGTCCATCAACAGGTGAATGGATAAAGAACATGTGGTGTTTATACACAGTGGAGTACTACTCTGCCATAAAGAAGGATACACTTGAGGCACTTGTTGGTTTTTTTTCCTCATTGAGTTTATTGGTACATTTTAGGGATACAGTACAGTCACATTCATCATTGGGATCTTGTACCTTCCCATGACAGGTCTTGGTTCTCATTTTTTCCCCTTGTCCCTGCCTTGCCTTCACCCCTCCTCCCCTCCCCATTTACAGACCACTTGAGGCATTTGTAAAAAAAAAAAAAAAAAAATGGATGCATCTTGTGACCATAATGTTAAGTGAAATAAATGAGATGCGTGATCTTAAAAGTCATATGTTTTCCCTTGTATAAGAATTAGAGGGAGAAAGGCATTCTTTATACAATTATTTTATCACTGTAACTTTCCAATTTGCATGATGACTACAATTTTTGACAATAAAAATAAATGAAAAACTTACCATTTTATTACCCCACCTATCAAAAATTGTAGCCAGTCACAATGCTTTACATAGATACAGTGTTAATGAGTTTATGTTTGTATGATATCATGAATCTGTGTATACATCCCTTGATATAGTATAAATACAGAGAGTCTTATTGTTTTATCCTTCAGTCCCTATTTCCATTTAAGTCTCTCATACTCTACCTATTCTTAATATTGTATTTTATTCCATTTCCTCTAGAAAATTAATATCATAGAACAGATAAGGTAAACATAATTATGAATATAGTTTTTCTCACTTCATGTTGTGTGGTGTTTCTCTTTCCTATTCTGTGTTTAAGACAGATTCATAAATATAAAATCTGGTAATAAGAAAGAGGTTGTGCATTTTTCCATTTCTTACAAAAATGGTCTCTATTTATTCATATGCCAATCACAGTGTATCAGTGTTTCATTTTCCTCAATTTCACAAAACATGACTAGGATCTTTTTAAAGAAAAACTCTAAATTGGTAGACTGCTTTATTTTCTGTCCAATTATGAATATTTAGCTTTTATTGTTTGGAGCCACTAATTAAAAAGAATTTAATTGAGTTTATTGGTACATTTTAGGTATACAGTACAGTTGCATTCATTATTGGGATCTTGTACCTTTACATGACAGATCTTAATGAGATCCAAGTCCTGTCATGTAAAAAAAAAAAAAAAATGGAATCACTAATTTTTTAAAAAAGTGCCTATTCACACATTTTCATCTTTCTTTAAAATCAGTGTTATTTTTCCTTGACTTAAGGGAGCTCTAGATATGTTAATGACAACATCCTGTTCACTTGTCACTTACTTATCAGATCTTTTGGAAATGGAGAGGAGGCCTATAAAGGGAAAAAGAGGGGCAAAAAGAGAAGGAAAGGGACATAAAAAGAAATTGAGATGTGTTACGCACACGTATCAACTCCCCATGACAGATATGATCATGGTGTACTGGAGACATGCACTCATGCAAATTAAAATTTTTAAAAATTCTATAGCATTCTGAGTCGCCCTCCTTCATGGTTTCTTACTTCTGTCTTTGTGAGCGCTTACAACACTTTTTATTTATGTTTTACATATATTTTCTAAATATATTTATTTGTCCAGACTTATAGGTATCCACATTGTCTTCTAGGTTATTTTATGGTATCATTTAGAAATTTTAATCTATGACCCATCTAGAGTTCCCTTCTCTAAGTATTTAGCAGTACATTTTCATTTGACCAAAAACCTAACAGATACTGGAGGACAAAGTGGAACAAACGTGTGTTATATGATCAGCTTCTTCCTCTGTCTCTAAAATTTCCCCCGTGGCATGTTGCAGGATCATGTATTCGCTGGATATAAACTACAAATATTTGAACTCGAACAAATATAAGTGGGGTCGATTCTGTCCGCAGTCAGAGCAGACAGTTGCCTTAGGCAGGAATAACATTACACACAGCCAATTCTTCAGGGGATTGTTTTTAGTGTGAGAAGCTAGATTCGATGGAAGACAAGGCATTTCTCATTTTGTCAAAGGTGAATTAAAGCCGAACTTAATGATCTTATAAAATGATCTTAGAGACCATCTTTGGCCCATACATACTGATAGTCCAATAGCAGTAAAGAGGGGAAGGCTGCATAAAATACTGGTGAATATTTTAGAGAAAAATATTAGTAACTACCCATGAATCTTCAAAACCTTTTACTATTTTGAACAGCACTATGTGTACACGTTTATGTGTGTGGAAATGGATGTGTATGATAGCTTGAAAAATAAAATACGTAGTGAAAAATTAATTTTCCTTTTAATTATTGAACTGTGATGTTTGTAAGATGCACACCAAAACCTCTATACGATTGAAAGTATGAAAACTCTAATCCCTTTTTTTCTAATTTGACTTTTTCTAGACTTGAGCAACATGCAGGATTAGTGAGATCCTCGTGTCACAAATCCCTCAAAGCTTCTTGACTGTTGAAGCCAACTAAGTCCCTTCGAAAACCTACTGCGCTCCGTTCCTGTCCCACGGCCTCCTCTGGCCCTCCCTAGTTCACACATCAGTGCATCCCAGTTGGGATGTATTGACTCTGTGCCAATAGGTGCTGTGGTCTCCCACTGGGTGTCACCAGACTCCAAGGTGCTGAGTTTCTCATTGGTGCCTCGTATGCTCTGTAATGCAGTCCTGTCACCAAGGTACGGGTGTTCTGGGACAACACAAGACGGGAGGCCCTATCCCTCTTCATGTACAGATGATTTCTGAGGTTCCCCTATAACATTGCTGAGGACTTCAAGGCCTGACAATACATGTATTAAAACTGCTCTTCCCAGCCTGAAATTTTTATTTCTTTTACCAGAATATCAGCACATACTCAGGACCTATTGAATCCATGTTCTTCTGAGCCAGTAAAAGCAATGCAGTAACTAAATGTGTGTATCAGGATGAATTCTGTGCTCACAACCATGCCTCCCTTACAACTAAGGCTCTCTTACCAGGGCAGGCTGAAATTCAGCAAGACTAGGACCTTCATTCCTCAGGATAACATTATAACTGTGATTCATGCCAAATAAATGCAATGTGCATTATATTCTGTCAGAAATATTCTGAAACATACTTGAACACTTAAGTCCTGTCACTTTACAGACAAATGATCTTCAATTTCACCTGCATGCATTTATCCATTACTTTATGAGTATGTTTCTATTCTTTGCATGCTGAAGTGAGAATACCTGACTATATCATAAGATTCTTAAACAACATCATTGTGTGTCATTATGGGAAACAGAGTGCTACATAAAGGATAATAATAATTCTGTTCAAATCTCAATCTGCTGCATCTGCTTTGTCAGAGTAATTGCTTTCTCTTTATTTCTTTAAGCCATTGGTAGAAAAAAAGAGGGGTTTTTTAAAGACTTTAAGCACATATATATGTTTGTATACAGTGAGAACTTGTTGGGAACAGGATTTTCCAATTTTCTGTACATGCAAGTTCTCTCCCTGACATTTATGACTTAATATGTGAGCATAAAATTTGGTAATAAGCACATAAGAAAGTTTGTCACCATAGTAAAATGGGCATTACCTCACATGGGTGCTAGGTGCTTGTGAAGAGTGGTCTGAGTGTTTCTGACCACATACAAGACACAGTTAGTGTAAGTCCTGCTAAGTGCAAGAGTTTTTATTGATGACCAAATTTTGAAAATGTACCTATGGCACGCAGAAGTAAGTAAAGCTCACCTGTATTTTAACTCTGGTAGTTGTATCTCAGAATTAGTGGACTCTCCTTCATTTAACTGAGTGACCACTATCATCTGATACAATGTCCTTTACAGTTCAGCACAGACTAGGGGCAGCATATGTATTAATTATTCTAGTAAGAGAAATATAAGGACAGAAAGAGTTTCTATCACAGTGTTCTGTCACTTCCTGTCCAGATGCTTCATATAACTTGTGCACCATAATGGAATGTATCCCGTTTTGGAAGAATGAAAAGGGGTTAAGGCTCTTTATCCTTATTCACCTAGAAACTAAGACATAAACAAAACTCATATAATACTGACAGCTACAATCCATTGAGCACTCACTATTAAAAGTCTCACTTTCCTCTGCATTTTTATAAATTTGGGCAGTAGGTGGCACTGCACTCAGGAAGACTACTACACTTGCTGCTCTGTTTGGAACAATGTTACAAACCAAATTCTGCACTCAAACCACACTTCCTTGCTGAAAGCCCACAGAATCTAGAATATAATTTAAATGAAGCAAACCATCAAATAAAGCAACATTGCAATAGGAATTTTACAGAATTTGTGCCAATGTGATCCTAAAATTGTATGTAATAATGTTTAGACAGAGACTGTGCTGAAAACTTTTACAAGATCCTTATTTAGTTGTTTATAAAAATTTTATGGATAAGTATAACTTCAATTTATATATATGAAATATCTTTTTTTCCCTTCAAACCTTTTTTCTTCAATGGAGTCATTCATATGCAGAGCCAATAAATAAGGCTATTTATAGATTACATTCCATATTTTTCATTGAAATCACAAAAGATCTAGTTGAAAGCACAAAAGTCTAAATTAAAAGAAAAATAGCAGTACTTCTGTGTTTACGTGTTTGTGCACGTGTGGATGCTCACTGTGATTTACTATGTATTGTTCTATTTTTCTTCTGTGTGAATATTAAAGAGGGCCAGACCAGGAAAGGAATAAGTGAGAATACAACAGATGAACCATGCTAAGGTACACTGTAAGGGATCAAGTGAATAGAATGAGTGAACTGCTCTCAAGTAGACTGTGTAGGACGAGTCTAGTGGCTTCTTAAATGTGACAACAAAGGAGGAGATCTGAGTGATACTGAGGTTTAGAATCTTTAGAGATGGGAGACAGTGGTGCTATTTCTAAGAGCTGGAGAAGCCAGTGGGTCCTGTTTGAGAAAGAAAACGCAGGAAGTTGTAGGTGGATTGAGTTTGAGACACAGCAGGCCATTGGGAGGGGCTAGTGAGCAGACATTTGCAACGCAGCATCTGTAACCAAAGGAGAATTATTTGAAAGTATAGATAACATTTTAGAAATCACTTTAGCTAAAACATAAGTGACAGTCCTTTTCTAATATTTATGTAGAGTAATTCATTTAATCTTCGAAACAACCCTATGTGGCCTGTAGTAGGTTTAATAATGTTCTCCAAAAAAACAATGTCTACCTGCAACATAGACTGACCTTTTGGAAAAAGAGTCCTTGCAGATGTAGTCAGGATGGAATCATACTAGATCTGTAATCTAATATGCCAAATCGAGTGATTGGTGTCCCTTACAGGATGAGAAGGGGTGATCCAGAGAAACCACCGGAAGCTGGGAGATACAGGACTCTTCCTGGGGGGATTGAGACCCAGTTGACATCTTGCTTTCAGGTATCATTAACTCTGCAATTGCAATTGTGGCTAGTACATTTCCTTTCTTTGAAGCCACCAAGTTTGTGGTAATTTGTTGAAGCAAACCCTAAGAAACTCCTACAAGGTATTCTTTTTTTATGACTACATTCTGCTAGTGAAGAAAAGGAAGCACAGATAAGATATCCAATAAACTGTCTCAAGGTCCGGTGGCAACAAGGAACTGGATTTCAAACCCAGACTTTCTGGCTTTGGAGTTTTGTGGGTAGCCGATAGCTACACTGCCTCTATTATTATTTTTATTACCTGATAATAAAGAGAGGCCCAACCTATGTGTAGGGAAACAGTGATGGAACAGCATCACCTGAAGGCAAACTAGCTCTGATTATACACAAGACCAGGTTCAAACCACTTTTTCCTATCTATTTAATTATAAAACCATGATATGCTCTCTTGTCAAAACCTAACATAACAAATAAACATGCTTTCTATCTAAATGGCAATCAAGAGCTAACAAAGACATGAATTTAGTGGTCATGATCTATGATGATGTCTATATTGATTATCTACATCCTCTTCATCAGAATCTACTGTTTACCTACCTTATTTTATAGCATGATTTAATGGTTTCTGTGATCTACAATTCTATAAGGTCAACTATATTTCTGATTTTTGTCTCCCTATCAAAAAATAAATAGAATTTGATTGTAGATGATGTAACTATAGTAAAAGTACACCTTGAGACTGTAATGTTAAGGGAAATAAATCAGACAGGCAAGCTTAAGTATCACATGGCTTCTCATTTATATGAGAAACACAAATTATAAACAAAAAGCAAATTAAAAGATAGATCATAAGAAGCAAGGAGATAGTTCTTTCACAAATAGGAAGGGGACTAAGAAATGAAAAGAAAGGAGAGGGAGAAGGAAAGGCATGAACAAAGGAATCACTATACGTGTTGTGTACACATACCAACTCCACACAAAGAATGTAAATGCTGTGTACTGCAAACATGTATTAATAAAAATAAAAACTATATTATACGATGACCATGTGTTATGTGGCCAGACATGCTTCCAGAATGTTGGGAGGGGGATTATTTCTCTTTGACATTCTGAATCATTTGTTGCGTTGGAGGAGGACACAGATTTCTCAGGAACACTGTGACTGCAGTTCAGATGTGCCTCTGCCAGGCTCAGCTGGACTCAGACAGCATTGTGTTTACTCTTCAGGGTGACTCTCTGAAATTATTTCCAATTATAGATGTGCAGGAGTAAGAGTGGAGAAGAGCACTAACTTGAGGAAGATCATACATATTTGAATTGTCAGAGCTGGAATTCAAGCCAATGGTTCACTTACTCTGCATCTTTTTTTTTTTTTTGGTTAACTTTAGCCTGTACCAAATGAAGATGGTCATCAATTTTAATTGGTCAGTTTGCAAAGGACATTCATTGTTTCACAGCTTATCTGCTTCTGTTTCACATAGAGTAAGAGTAGCATAAGGCTCCCGTGGTCATCTTCTGCTATATGGAAGACAGGTAGTATTAAACCAGGGCTGATGGACTCATGATGCTTACTTTAGATAGCCTTGTCCAAAATATATACCTGTTGATTTCTGGGTACCTGTCTGTCTACTTCAGATAATTGAATGGTTAAAGGCAGTTAGTGGAGTACTTCGCAATTTATGAACAATCAAAATGACAAGTCTTTCTGTTATTTATTTAGCTTAATCCCATTTCATAACAAAATTACAGATTTTTCTCTTACGGGGCTCTAGTTAACATTGCTTTCTACTTGTACTTCTGAAATTTTGTAGACCAGCAGAGGGAGCTATGTGGTTGCAAGCAGTTGATGTCACCAGGTCACTCGCGTGGGAAACCTTTCTGGTTCCATTGCCAATGGGGGGAAAAATACTGACTCAACTGCCCTAGCTCATTTGGTGTTTATCTAAGGGATCAAAATACTCCTAAGGGGATCCATTAGCCAATTACTAGGGGTAAAACAGAACATTATTTATCCAGCACACATTGGAGTGGCTCCATGGGATCTGCTCTAGTCTATTGAATAATTACACAATTATGTAATATATATATGCTACATATCTCAAGGATTAAGCTGCCTGTCTGGGAAACTAGGGATGCTGATATAAATGCAAAGAATTATTCGGTCTGGACTTACAAGTAAAACATGTGACCCATGGTGATTCAACAATTAATTAATCTTGATAAGATGAAAGCAAGCCTTGGCATAGACAAGGAGGCCCCGTGATATTTACTTTTGTAATATTTCACACAGCTAATTTCAGTATATTGATATGTTAATTAAAATGAAGACTATCAGGTGTTTCTCCTTTTCGTTAGGGTTGAGCTCTCAGGAAATGTATCTTAATCCAAAATATAATTTAAATTCATATTTCATGTTAGTCAAAAACAAACTGCTTTAATGTAACAAAGTCTACATTAAGATTTGAAACATTTTGCCTTATATGTGTGTTGTTTGAATTTTAGTCTTCATTTATATAAATTAGTGTTCATGTTGTACTTTATTTTTAATATAAAGTATATTAGAACTTGCCTTGAGGTGCATCTGTTGGCCCAATAATTATAGATTAATGACATAATAAAATAATAATCAAATGACATTTTGCCTACCATCTTCTAAGACAGCCCAAAGAAAAATTAACTGTATTACTATTTTCAAAATGTTTAGGATGCCGTAAGATTGGTATAAAAAAGTTCAAAGAACTTAACATTCTCAGACAGGTTAAGAATCTGGCAGACAAATCTCTCTCCCACATTTCTTCATGCGAGGGTGTACAGGTATGTTATTTAAAATCCAGTTGAGTCATCTAATAGTTGAAAAACATGGCATGTGAAATGGTATAAACAAAATTCTATAGGTGTACATAATTGTGAAAGATCAGTAAAAAACATTTTAAAGGAATTATTTCACAAACACTAATGAATTTATTGTGTAGAGGGGAAATTTCATCAAGGATCAATAGTATGGCTAGAAGATTTCAGAGAGTCCTGATTGACCTCATTAACTTCATTTCAGATTTAAAACACAAAGAGGGAGTAATGTTGGAAATTGTAGATCCAATAGTCCTTCCTTAGCCGGGCATGGTGGCGCATGCCTGTAATCCCAGCACTCGGGAGGCTGAGGCAGGAGGATCGCTGTGAGTTCGAGACCAGCCTGGTCTACATAGTGAGTTCCAGGTCAGTCTGAACTACATAGTGAGACCCTCAAAAAACAAAACAAACAAACAAACTAAACCAAAAGAAAACAAAACAAAACAACCAATAGTCCTTCCTTCTATTCCTCCATCCTGGTTTTTACACACATTATACCTTTAATGACATCATAAGCCTTAGTAGATACCACTTAATTTATGATTTTAAGGAAGACGAATGGATGGAAAGAGGGGGTAGCTCATTTTACCTCATTCTTCTAGATGCCCGAAATCCTTGACTTATATAAAGTGCTAAAGGCACTAAGAACTATACTAAAAGATCCAGACTACTTCTCACAAAAAGAATTTTTTCAAGTCAAATATCAATGTAATAAAAAGTAGAGCCAAACTTAAAATCTATAAGTAAAAGACCACTTATTATGAATGCCTATTAAAAATACAGTAAGTTTTAAACTGGGTTTTTGTTTTTTTGCCACACAAAAATCTATTTTAAGACCTATTTTTACACAATGTAAACTTTGTCATCCAGTGGTAACTCTCAATACAAGAAATATATTTGCCTTTTCCCAGAACTACTATAAAGTGAAGCAAAACTTGTCTAATGAACATAAAATGGACTCAAAAAGGACATTCTCTTCAATGTTTGAACCAGGATATTCAGACTTCCGTCTTATGTAGGCTAATTAGCTAATAGGAACCTAGAATCAAATAAAATACCTTTCCAAGTATCACAGTATTAAAGAATAAGTATTACTCTAATTATTAATTAATAATAATAAACCATATGAAGGGCTTTCAGAGTGGTTATTGGTGACACTGAAAAGCTAAGGCATTTTAATTTGGTCCAAAAATTCATCGCTCTAAAAGAAAAACACCTATTGTTTTAAGGCAAGATTTTAACTTTTGAAACCAGATAAACCACTCTGTACGGCATGGAAGAAATCTTGAACGTCTGGCTTTCCCGTTAGATGTTTGAGAAAGAGTTTCAGGAAAACTCTGCAGCACATCGGACATGAACTACTGACCCAGGCAAAATTGCTTACGAAGCTGCGTGTGTTTGCGCCCCTGCCGGGGCCCTGGAAGGTCCGCGGTGCCAGCTCACGAGCCCTGAACTCCAACTGCTCCCCATTTCCCATCATCCCCCACCTCTGAAAAACCTATCGGCGAGCACAAAATGAAGGTTTCAGAAAAAGAAAGGACAGCAGGGCACGAGCGCTATAATTTCCTGTAACGTGGAGCACACATCACATGATGTAAAATATATGTTTTTAAAAGTCAAATTTTAAATCTTTCCAAGTGCACTTTCTTGCCTCTTAAAATATACATTTTGCAGATGAGAAGGGGACCAAGAGACGGAGAGGTGGGAGAGAGGGTGGGGAGAAGGAAAGTAAGAAGAATTAAAGCGTGTTCTGCACTTGTACCAGTTGCCCAAAATGAACGTAAT